AAAAAAAAAAAAAAGAAATCGCAGCGCTGGGTTTGTGGCATTTTGTGGCATGCCTCCTGATCAGACCGGAGCGCACCCAGTTGAAACAGGTAGAGGAGGGGAAAAAAAAAAAGACAGGTAGAGGAATGCGTGCGTGTTTCGAGCATGAGTACACGATTGTATATATGCTTCTTTTGGAATATCTACAGTTTTGAGTGTAAAGAGCAATAGGCCATAGCTTGTCATCTACTCACCACATGCACACAAAAGACAAAAAAAAATGGCGATATATCCTTCCGTTTTCTAGCGGAAGATTCACGGTTGTATGCTTCTTTTGCATTATCGACAGTTTTGCGTGTACTCAATTTGCGTAGTTGGGGAGTAGTGGAGCGAGGCGCTTTGTGTGTGCGCATGGAGACATGCACGACGATAGGGATAAATGGATAAGGTTGATTTTTCGTGTACGGGTGACTATCTATCTATAAATAGGTGGGTAAGTCCCTTTTTGTGTGGACAATTGCGCAGTGTTTTACAGGTGAAAATTCCCATTTATAATTTATTATAAAAAAAAAGAATTCCCAATTTGCTTGCCGGTGAAGAGCAACCATACTGACGCCTCCCAGAAAAAAAAAAAAAAAAAAAAGTTTTCGGGTGGAGACGGCTGCTTTTTGCTGCATCTGCTTCCCGCCTTTTTCTGTTTTTTTTTTTTTCTTCTTTTTTTAAATAAAGCTGTCTCAGACCGCTGGTTTCCATTCCTTGGTTGATTCGATTTGTCCTTTTCTTAATTTGATTTGTCGGTTTTTTTTTCGTCTTCTGGAAAACAAACAAATCTTTTTTGTTTTTCTTGGGATAAAAAAAGCGATGATTAATTGATGATGTGTTGCAGGTAATACTTTTGTTCTATATATTCATTCTTTTTCTTTTTTTCGCTTTTGCGCTCTCATATTCATGTGATGATATATCATTGTTGGGGCCAGGACAGCAGAAAAAAATGCGGGAAAACTATAATACCTGCATTGAAGGGAGGAGATGCATTTTGATTCCGTACAAGCGAGAGCACGTGGCTAAATACCACGAGTGGATGAAAGACACGTATCTGCAGCAGACGACTGCATCTGAGCCCTTGACAGAAGCAGAGGAGTACGCGATGCAAGAGAGCTGGGCAGACGATCCACAAAAATGTACCTTCATTTTGCTAGACCGCGATTACCTTCAAGTTGGGACTCGGGAACATTATGGCGAGGGGGACAGCAACACCAACTGCAACTGCAGCTCAAAAAATCTGACAGAGACAGATCATACTAGCAGCAGGCCAAAAGAAGAAGAAGAAGAAGAAGAAGAAGAAGAAGAAGAAGAAGAAGGCATTGCTGCGAAGAAGAAGAGTGTAAGCCCCATAGCCGCAGACAAAGCCGTCATGGACGGCGGCGTGAGCAGGAAAAAAGAAGAAGAAGAAGAAGAAGAAGAAGAAGAAGAAGAAGAAGAAGGAGGGATTGTTGTGAAGAAGAAGAGTGTAAGCGCCATAGCCGCAGACATAGCCGCCATGGCCGGCGACGTGAATCTGTTCTTTAACGACATCGACGATCCACATGCTGCGGAGATCGAGGTGATGGTGGCAGAAGAGCGAAGCCGGCGAAAGGGAATCGCAAGGGAAGCGTTGAGGTTGATGATGTTGTATGCAATCAAACACTTAGGGGTCCAGGTGTTCAGAGCCAAGATTGGTGACAGTAATCACCCATCATTAAGCCTGTTTCACAGTCTGGGTTATGAACAGGTAGCATGGAGCAGTGCGTTTCAAGAGAAGACTCTTGAGTGGAGTGTCACTCCGGAAAGCACAGCACTTCTTCAGCAATCTGTCCTCGGCGGTGGACGCACCGGGGATTTGATCACACGACCATACGAACGACTCAGGGAGCAGCAGACCGAGTGCTTTTTTCAAGAGAAGACCTCTTGAATAGAGAGAGAGTCGATCCTGAGAACACAACAGCAGTTCCGTGGCGGCGATCTATCGCCGATGGGAGCGGGGAGTTGATCACACGACCATCATACACGAACGACGAGTTATGGACAGCTACCTCTTTTTTTCTTTTTTTTTTTTCTTTTTTGTTAGTGGGGGGGGTGGTGGACGGCTGCTTCTGAAGCGGCGCAGTTCATGCCCAAGCCTGTAATAATTATGAATACAAGTGAGCCCTCCGCGACAAAGCCGCGGCCCAGGGGCAGGCCCCCATCCCAGGCACGGCCATTAGCCATTATCTGGCCCGGGCGACATTGAGGGGGTGTGTTTGTTTGAGAACATGAGGGACTCGCAGCATTCGGGGGGGCCATCGGCCAAGGTATCAGCACGCCGTCGGATCCTGTGTAAATCAGAACTATTTTGTTGTGGTCCCCCATGGACTTGAACTCACGTCTGCAATTCAACAATTTCATGCGTGCATCAACTGAGCAGCCTGCCAATGTGCAAAATGAGAAGGAATCTTCCGCAAGAACATAGGAAGATACACCAGGAGGGACAGACGTATTGAAAAGAAATCCCGGTGTGAGTATGGACTAAGGAGCTGTCAGCTGCAAATGTCGCCTCCACACACACACAGATACAGACACACACAGAGAGAGAGAGAGAGAGAGAGAGAGAGAGAGAGAGAGAGAGAGAGAGAGAGAGAGAGAGAGAGAGAGAGAGAGAGAAGAACGTGGAAATATACACTGCCACATTTTGGGTCTCTGGCAGTGTATATTTCCATGTTGTGGCAGTTGTAATGAACCCGGTCTGGCAGATACTCAGAAGTCGTCAAACATCAGTAGTCTCATTATCTGCATCAAAGTCTCCAAATCGTGAAGTGATATCTCAAACCGTATCTCATTACCATTAAAAGAAGAGAGTGGAGGGGGAACAGACAGAGGAGAAGACGAAAGATCACACAATAATAATCCCTTCAGACCCCTCTCCTTCTCCGGGCTTCTTCCCTCTCCACATCAACAACTCGTAGATGATAACAAATATAGTAAACCTGATGACACACAATAGTGCCACGTGGCACTTTATCTCGTGAAGACCATGAAGACATAGCAGATTCCAGTGAAGACATCAACTTCAGGTGCGTACCCGATCTCCTTCATCCACAGATCTCGATCTTCCTCCTCCTTGCAACCAGTCACCTCATGTAGACAGCGTGGACAATCCCACGTCAGCAGTCGAGACAGGTGGCATATACCACATCATCAATGGAGACCAGTGGCAGCGCCACATCAGCAATGTAGACAAGTGGTAGCGCCACATCAGCATGCACTGTAAACCAGAGGCAGTGCCAAATCAGCATGCAATATAGACCAGAGGTAGTGCCACATCAGCATGCAATGTAGAGCAGAGGTAGTGCCACATCAGCATGCCACCTCAGCAAGCCTGGTGCACAATGCAGAAAGCGCCAGCATGCTGCCTCCACCTCATGCAGTCGTCCGCATCGCCAGTGCACAGCCAGCGTCTATCCAGAGTCGAGCCAGCATAATGCCAGCGTCTAGTCAAAGTCGAGCCAGCGTCAAAGCAGCATAGCAAGACTGAATGCTTGACTCACTCGAGGCCAGCCTTAAGTAGCAATTGTCGAGGCTGTCTGGCCTCGGGTGCTTTCCCCACAGTCGTCCAGATTGACTCACAGATGAGGGCCCGGATTGTACAGTTGCAGACTTCTCCCTTGGACCTGATGCTGTCTGGGTACCTGCATACAAACAAGTGTGTGTGCTTGACCAGCGGCCTGGGCTAGGTACCTTTGGACTTTGACTGTTGGGGTCATGACAGTTGACCAAAGTCAATTGTCACAAGTCCAGGCCACGAGTCCTCATGTGGGGTCCTTTTTGCCCCGTTTTGGCCTGGGCTGAGGGCGGCCGAGTTGGCCCTCAGTCTTTCCAGAGTCATATGGCATGGGTTATTGCACAGTGGATACTCCCATGTTCTAGGGGAAGATTCAATCCCATTTTGGCATTTTGCTTATTTGGTGAAACGTGGCAATGCAGGTCTGTGTGGTTTGTGTGTGGAATCTTCAGCCAGAACATGGAAATATACACTGCCACACTTTTTTTTTTTTTTTTTTTTTTCCCTTCATGTGTGCATCAACTGAGCAGCCTGCCAATGTGCAGAATGAGAACGAATCTTCAGCACAAACATAGGAAGATAACACCACGACGGACAGATACATTGAAAAGAAATCCGGTGTGAGTATCCACTAAGGAGCTGTCAGATGCAAATGTCGTCTCTCTCTCTCTCTCTCTCTCTCTCTCTCTCTCTCTCTCTCTCTCTCTCTCTCTCTCTCTCTCTCTCTCTCTCTCTCTCTCT